CTGGGGTTTAAGGAGACAGAAGCAGAGATACAAAAAGCAACTGTAAAAGGCGGCCCCGTAATAATTACAGAGAAAGCGAGCTCATGTTGTGAATTGCATCCCGTTGCATGCCTTATCACCTGTTATTCAGGCATGAGCTTCTCAGCTTAGCACCCGTTTCCCTGTTCTTGTCTGAGTACAAGCTAAAACTGCATCTTTAAAATGAACTGCACCTATTCAAATCACATTAATCAATGGAAAATTTTACAGCTCTGTGCGTGAGCATAGTCAAGAAATCGTGTCTAACTTCAATTTTCCCAGCAGCAGCAGTGTAGTCGGTTCAACACCATGGACAGCGATGTTTGTTTGTTTGTTTTTTTAAGTAAAGGCAACAGATTAGCTGCTTATTACAATGCATAGAAAAAAACATATATAAAAACATATACATTTTTTCTAAAGTTACAGTTGAAATTTAAATTTTTACAAAGGTTTTTATTTACACATCTTTATTTTGTGAGGAAAAGAAATCCCATTGTGTAATTATCAAACCGCCATTACGTTAATCGTCTTGCTCGCCCCCTAGTGGAAGCTCTTGCACCACACTGCGAATACCTGCTGTGGCCGTATTTGTTAAAGAGGGATGTTTATTTTGAAACTTGGGGAAAAAAAGCATGTTTACTTCAATCACTCTTTCAACAACCAGTCGCTAATTACACGTCAAACATCATGATCAATCTCTAAATTATTGATTTAATGCAAAATAACCCATATCTGAAAAGGTTTTCACATTTCACCTCTACTTTACCAAGCATAACCTGAGGGATGCTGATTACAGTCTGCAGTTTTTATTAAGACAGCTGTAATCTGCATAATAAATACAGATAGAAAAGGAAGAAACGTGCTCAGCATTGCAGGTAATAAATTCAGCGTGCTCCTTCACTATCAGCAGCATTAGTTATACACACACACAGCCTTTAGGGATTATCTTGATGCACATTTAAATAAAGTCAAGAGTAATTTGCAGTGGCTATACTACCAGTAATAAAAGTCCTCAGATAGGGTAATGACCCAGCTCCCTTTACTGACCAGAACATGATATAAATGAGAATATCAAATGGGGCACAGGTGTGTATGTGCACGCACACAGATGTTTGTCGGACTATAGTTTTTTCTATTTAGGGTTTTTGTGTTGGTGGACTTATGCAACTCATGTAATTTTTGTGTGTTTTTGGTGTACGATCCGTTGCAGTGTGACCTTTAAAGTTAGCTGACCTTTCAGCCAAATGAAAGTCTGGCTATAAGGAACTAATTAGCCCTCCAATTAAGTTCTATCTTCCCTATTTGAAGAAAAATCTATTTTTTTTTCTTCTGTGCCCATTGACTTGACCATTATCTGGTCAAGTCTCACTGTGATTCAAGTTGATATAATTTGTTTGGTTTCAGAGCTTGGTGTCCTCTTTCCTCTTGAATTTTTTTCTTTTTTATTTAGAAAATTATCACCATTGTCATGCTTTGTGCCTCTCTCCATTTATCTCAAATCGTTTTGCTGTTTTTTTTTTTTGGTGCAGCCATTTCTAAAACAATACTTTACAGTTTTATCTCACCAACAACATCTGTGGATGATATTTTCAAATAAATCGAATCAGTTATGTGCCTCATAGAATTGCAAGGGGTTTGTTTTCAAAGACAAATAAAGGCAGTTTAGAGAAGCAATTTAAAGTTACCCTTTTGTTAGCAAAAGAGGCCAATGCTTCTAATACAAATACCTCTGTGTACTATCATGATCATGTAGCTTGATTCTCTTCATCCTCTCCTCCAAGCACACTAAAACTGAAGAGTTAGGCCACTGTTGATGCTAAACAGAAGATCACCAGGGTCTCCTCACTCTCTGCAGGGCCTCTCAGAGGTCAGCACAGCTGCAGAGTTTCCACTTGAACCACTAAGTCAGTTGAAATGAGAAATCCTTTTAAAGAGAAGGATGGGGAGAAGTGAACGCTACCACCTACACTCAGTGTTCATAAATAGATCCACATCCTAGACTGTCGGTGCATTTGAGTTAGCTTAGGCCTAATCGAAACCATCCAGATCTGATTCATGTGGATGCTATGATATGCAAGCTATTATTGTAGCAAACCTATGCTGAGCCCTGAGAGAAGAGAAAGGGGAGGGTGATCAGCCAGGTTTACAGGGAGGAAGAGGAGGATCGATAACTGGCCCTGTGGTCATCAGTTAACAAAGTAGTTGCTTCTTAAAAGGGGTGTTTGGCTCTCTGGGTAAGGGTAGCCAGATGATGCTAGTGGTTGAAAAAGGAAGCGTAGGAAATGAAAGAGGGTCAGAATGAGAGAGGTGGAGGATTCCTTTGTTAGTTTCATGTCTTGTTTAGACTATTAAAGCTTAAAAATACAGTTTGTTTGCCCAGGGGTCTTTAAGCTAACTTGGTGAAACAGCTATAATACGATGAACTGGCTGCAAAGTTTACAGGGCTGGTGTGTTTGGATTCTACTTTTAGTTTTAAAAAAAACTTCTGAGAAAATGTACTGGTGGAAATATATCTGTTTACTCTGTTTTGCATGAGGATTACACTCTAATCTGCCCACTTTTTGCTTTATCTGTCTAGATTTGCTGCTTATTTATACACTTACATCCTGACTGAATATATTTTTTCCGTACAAATCATTTGAAATCTGCAGAAAAGTAAGGAGTTTGATTTTTCCTATTAGTAAGTAAGGGTGGGTTTTAGTTAATATCCAATTTACTAAAAGGGAGAAAACTAGTCTTTTTGGAGAGACAAAGCATATTTTAAGCCTGATTTGTATTAAGGTTGTTACCTCTATTTTTTATTGCCACATCACAGCTTAAATTTTTATAAAACTCATTGATTATTTTGGACTTTCAGTTACTAACAGATTAACACAAACAAT